TACAGAGCGAATTCATTCAAATCCTTTATTGACTCCGCAGAGAAAGAGGGAGGGAGAAAAGAGAAGCCACATCTTGGCTCTAATTTCCCACACAAAATGCAACAGGTTGAGGTTTTTAAGCAAAATACGAAAGGTCAAAACCAAAGGGTGTCCTTTGATTCTAATTCACACATGTACACACCAGCTACTTGGCTGATGAGCAATTAAAATAATGCAGTGGTGCACTGATGAGACCCATTAGCTTGCAGAAGATCTCTCTGATCTCTCTCCGAGAACTGGGCAGACTCCGTTAGCAACTTATTTTTGACCTTTGTCTGCGGACAGAAGACAAGCTGATCTGTACCTGCAATGACTAATAATGGGGACAACTTTGCATGAACACAAAATCTGCCACTTTTGATCTGAAAGCCCAGGCAGGCAGCGGGGAGTTTCTAAATACAGATACATTCACCAAGCTGCACTCTTCATCTCTGCTCCCTATGGGGAAAACAACCATTAATCGACATCAGAGATGCAGTCACACAGGCATGCAGCTTTTCTGGGAGAACTTTTCCCTCAGCAATAAGGAATGATTGCTTATGTTTTTGTACAATTTCTGTGCAACAATGGCTCCATGAACTGGAGGATAAGTGACAATTTCTTAACAATTAATGTGACAATGACTTAGTGCAGAGTGATTCCAGCAGCCTAGCCAGTTAACCGTGTGCAAAGCTATATTCAAGAGTCTTCACAAGTCTTCTAGACCAGAGATGAGGAACCTGTGGCCCTCCAGTGGACCACAATTGCTATTATCCCTCACTATTGACCATTGTGGCTATGGCAGTTTGGAGAGAGGGTCCAAAACAGTAGGAGGACCACAGGTTTCCCCAACCCTACTCTAGTATGATCCAGTACTAGAAAATGCACAATGAAATTCACTACAAAATGGGAAGGAGAGAAACTTAAGGTTTGAAGAAAATGAGACCAGTAATGCATTCCAATAAAGTGAGACCAGTTATTTTCCAACCGCATTGGCATTGTGCTTTCATTGCACTGAAATGAATGGAACGGAATAACCTAATGACAATGTACTTACAGTGGTACCTCGGGTTACATACACTCCAGGTTACATACGCTTCAGGTTACAGACTCCGCTAACCCAGAAATATTACCTCGGGTTAAGAACTTTGCTTCAGGATGAGAACAGAAATCGTGCTCCAGCGGCGCAGCAGCAGCAGGAGGCCCCTTTAGCTAAAGTGGAGCTTCAGGTTAAGAACAGTTTCAGGTTAAGTACAGACCTCTGGAACGAATTAAGTACTTAACCTGAGGTACCACTGTATATAATTTGTATAAGTAATTACACGTTACGAAATCTTGCCATAGCGGACAGTGAGACGAATAATGTAGTTTGGGGTAGAAGACAAAGTGCAGCAGAACAGAAACAGGGGCAATACAGGGCAGATCACAAAGCAATGACTTTTTGCACATAAATTGACACTGAGGCCTCAGTATAAATGACTCGGGCCTCAAATACCCAAAGGACCGCCTTCTTCCCTACAGATCCTCTTGGGTGCTAAGATCAATGGGGTGAGGGAGGCCTCTTGGTAGTGCCTCTGCCCTCAAACACTCAGGGTGGTGACAGTGGCAGACTGGGAGAGGGCCTTCTCTGTGGCAGCCCCTAAGTTGTGGAAATCCCTTCTGACACCTACATTACACAGCTTTCAGCAAATACTGAAGATGCACCTGTTCACCCTGGCTTTTGACACTTGAGATTTAGGATTTTAGGACCCACCTTATTTTTGTAATTTTAAGTTCTTCTAAACTAGGGTTTTTATAATATTGTGTTTTAAAATTGCTCACCTTTTACATTGGGTGGCATTGCGGACTGGCATCTGGACCCCTGTAGTGACCCAGATCGGGGGTGAGGGATTGATACCTACTCCGTGCCAACCCCAGACGCGTCCCCCCTGCCTGGCCAATCTATGGGCTTCCCTTTTTTGCCAGGGGCTTCCCTCTCTCACCTCCACTTGGTTTTCGCCTACCTTGTAGCAATCGTCACAACTCTGCAAGGTTAGGCATTGGGTAAGCCTTTGTATAAGGGAGGGGAGGTTGTAGCCTCTGCCTGCCCCTTCTTGATAAGGGTATCCTGTTAAAGGAATCCAAGGGTGTGGATTCTGTCTGAAGCCCGGGTGTGGGTTAGGGCCATGCCACGACCCTCAGGGTGCCCCTATTTGATGTAAGTCATAGGACTCCCCCTTCTTGTGGTTTACCCTTAGTTTGACTCCCTGCAGATGGGTGGGAGTCAAGATATAGCCCAGTTTCATCCAATGCCTAAGCCAAATCGCTCCCTTCTTTAACCAATAAAGTTGTGGTCTGTTTTAGCCCATAACCCTAAATACTCATGTCGGTGTGTTTATTAATCAATGGGGAACTGCAGGGCACGGGGCCTTGGCACACAATATTAATATTGTGTCTTAATAGTTGTAACCCACCCTGGGACTTTAAGGTGAAGGGCAGGGAATAAACTGTAATAATAAAGTAATAATAATAATGATATATACTCCTGGGCAGAGTGCTCCACTAGGTCCCAACCAACCACATATTATGAAGTTTCTGACTCAAGTCCCACTTTCCCTGGCAGTTCTTTCAAAATATCACGGGACTCTGTACACTGGCAAGTTCCACAGGGGAAAAAAGGCTCCCTCTCTTCCGCTCCGGGATACGTGAAATGAATACCACCACAAAGCAATCTCACGCTTTCCTAAACCATACGTCTGTGCTCACCAGCGTGTGTTGATGAGGCTGCAGATCCAAACTGTTGTTTATAAATTGTTAATATTGTTTCCCTTTCTAATGGACTGGCTGGGAGCTCAGCCAAAGATTTAAAGCCAAAGGCTTTCGCAGAGAGAAAGAAAAGAAAAAAATCTTGGGGAAAAGAGAGAAAATGATCAATTTTTAAAGAAAGCTGTTAAAACACATGGGGAAAACAAAACAATATATATATATATATATATATATATATATATATATATATATTGGCCACAGGCTTAAAAAAAAAATCCCGTGCACTGTTTTATACAGACTGCTCTCGAACAACAGGTCCCAGAGACTGAAGTTCGGATGTGGATAGACATCCATGGAAATGTATGTGGGTGTCACAAGCACCATGTAATGTAGAAGTCCTCTAGTTGTTTTAGACTACAACTCCCATCAGCCCTCTCCCAGCACAACATCTGGAGGGCTTCATGTTGAGGGAGGCTGATAGAGTGACAGGCCTGTCCTCCATGTATTTGTCTAAACCTTTAAAAAAAAAAAAAAAGATAATCAAAGCTGGTAGACATCACCCCACCTCGTGGAAGTGATTTCTGTAATATAATTGCATGTTTTGTCAGCCCTCAACCTACTTGCCAGTCCATTTCATTGAGTAAGCCTGGGATCAGCGTGTTTACCTCGTGCTCCCATCCCAACCTTGGCAAGCTCAGCTGATGAATAGTCGCCTGCCTCTTACCTTCTGAAGGATGATGTGGGACATGGAAGCATTGGCATGTACAATGATGGTGGCCGTCTTGTCGTCCCTGATCTCCTTTAGCAACGGTGTGGGGTCCCGGCTGTCATCCAGCATCCGGATCGAGAGAGTTTCCTTAGAGATCAGGAACTGGCGGAGCAGCTTCTCCAGGTTTAGAAGGCCTGCAGGTGAGAGAAATGGAAAAGACCATTTTCTACTGGGCCAAGTTTAAGGTGTTACCAATAATACATAAAGCCCTTAACATCTCGGGACCAGTTTACCTGCGAAATCACCTTTCCCTATATGCACCCACTTGATAGCTTTGATTTATGGAACTGGCACTGCTCCAAGTGGCATGTAACACTCATTCTGCTGTTATAAGAAACTGATGTTTTTAGGGTGGCAACACCCAAACTTTGGAACTCCATGCCTATTGACATCAGTCTTGAACTTTCTCTGCACTTTTTTTGGCGTCTGCTAAAAACATTTTTTGTTTTTAGACAAGCCTACCTAGACATGTAGAATGTTAAGCCGGTTTTTTAGCAATGATCTTGATTATTTTTTGAATGCTTTAAATAGTTGTTCTTAACTGATAATTTTTCTGTTGCATTCTTTTTGTAAACTACTGGAAGGCTTTCTCTTTTTTATAATCAAATGGTATATACATTTAGTTACATGAATAAATAAAATGTTCTAATCCTCTCCTGCCACCTTTCCAACTTCTAAAACCCCCTCATTTCCCTGCAAATGCTGAAGCATCACTGCACAACTTCATCTGGGTTCATCATTGTCTCACTTACCATTCTTCCCCTGCCTGCAACCTTCCCATCTCTGAGACATCCTTCAATGTCTCAGATGTGCTTTGAAGGTGATCTGGAAACTACAACTAATCCAGAATGCAGCAGCTAGACTGGTGACCGGGAGTGGCCACCGAGACCACATAACACCGGTCTGGAAAGACATTGGCTCCCAGTATGTTTCTGAGCACAATTCAAAGTGTTGGTGCTGACCTTTAAAGCCTTAAACGGCCTCAGTCCAGTATACCTGAAGAAGCGTCTCCACCCCCATTGTTCTGCCCGGACACTGAGGTCCAGCACCAAGGGCCTTCTGGCGGTTCCCTCACTGCGAGAAGTGAGATTACAGGGAACCAGGCAGAGGGCCTTCTCGGTAGTGGCACCCGCCCTGTGGAACGTCCTCCTACCAGATGTCAAAGAGAACAACTACCAGACTTTTAGAAGACATCTGAAGGCAGCCCTGTTTAGGGAAGCTTTTAATGACTGATGTTTTAATGTATTTTTAATCTCCTGTTGGAAGCCGCCCAGAGCGGCTGGGGAAACCCAGCCAGATGGGCGGGGTATAAATATATTATTATTATTTTTATTATTATTATTATTATTAGCGTCTCCAATTGGCATTCTCCCTTTACTTTCCTTGTTGCTTGCTTCTGAGTACTTTATGAGTGTATTTTGGGTTGTTTTTCAGGGGAAGTGCTGTGCCATGCCACTAGGTAGCCATTGTCTGGATAGCTCAGTTGGTTAGAACATGGTGCTGATAACGCCAAGGCTGCAAGTTCGATTCCCTGTGTGGGACAGCTGCCTATTCCTGCATTGCAGGGACTGGACTAGAGAAGGAGATTTCAGCAAATTTGGAAACCAACACTTTTCTTTGACTTTTCTGAAAGTTCTGTCAGCTTCTAGCATTTAGCAGCTAGGTTTTCTGTTCCAAAATTAATCCAGTTATGACAAATCATTTCATTTTTATAATGAATAGAGCATTTGACTGTTACAATGGTAGTCTGAGCCACCCGCCTGAACTGTACTACCACTGCTCTGCCTGTGTAATTTAAAGTACCTTGCCTGACAGAAATATAGCATGTGTATGTGAGGGACTATTATCTACCTGTGTGAATTTGTGCAGTAAAATAAATACAATAAAACACACTGATTAGAGCAACATTTACGCCCCCAACACTCAAAATCCATGTAAAACTGTGTGTGCAGTCTTTTCGTCCATAACAATAAAAGACTGGCATCTATAATACTGTTCCCCTTGAATCGATTGCTTCTGAAAGCAATGTTTTTCGTTGATTAACTGCCTCACTTTTAAATGATTAAAGTAACAATTGCAATAACTTGCTGCAGGTGACATTTTGAGGATATTTAATGAAGATAATAGTTACTCTCAAATGAATAACCCAGACAAACGAGCTCATGTTTGGACAATCTTCTTGCTGAACCTCCTCCTTCTTCCACCTCCCTCCTACTGTGGTACTTTTCACCAGGCAGAACCAGAATTAAAATCAGATGGAACCTGATTAAGAAATCCAGAATTTTATTCAGTAATAAATGGATTCATGATTCATGCTGTTAATCAATAGATGTAAAGCTTTCAGCCATGAAATAATGTCCTGGAGCTTTGGGAAGGCCCTGCCTTCCCTCAGTTCCTCTGTAACAATAAAAATAACTGGCTCAATTTAATAAAATTTAAAGAGCACACCTGCATCAGCACAGCTGCACGCCTTCATCTGCCCAGCTGCAACAAAACATTTCTCCCCTGTATCGGTCTCTACAACCACAGCAGGTGCTGTAACTCCAACAGTTTGACTTCACCTCTTCCATTATATCCTATTCAGATGGATGGATGCCAACCTCAAAGAACTAAATAGGTAAGTTGGCATAAAAAGGTGTTCAAGGTGTTCTGAAACTTAGTCCTGAGGCTAACCTCTGCTAGAAGGATGTTCCATAGCATGGGACCAGTGACACATTGCCCGACTTCTAGTTTGAAGCCAGTGGAGCTTCTGAAACATGGGGGACAACTAGTGCTCCTCTGGATGACTGTGGATGTTTACAAGTGATAATATTGATGGTCCAGGTCATCTTTCCATTCCAAGGAGCAGGGTCAGCCCACTCATGAGACAAGGTGAAATGACCGCCTAAGGCGGCAGGATCCACAGGGGCAGCAGATTCCAATGCAGATCTCTATCCCCGCCTGTTCCTGATGTAGATCTTCACTCACCCCTTCTTCCCTGGCAGGGAAGGAGGCACCATTTTGTGGTTCATCTCAGGTGCCAAAGTGTCTTGGCCAGAGCCTTGGCACGAACACCAGCTTATCTGTGCATTAAACCCCCAGAGACATCGGGGAGGGGGGGGAATCTGTATACATAGGTCTCAAAGGGTATCAAACATGCATCCGTCACCTCTGCAGAAGTCCAAGAAAGCATGTGCCGTATTTTCCTGTGTATAACATGACCTCATGTATAAGACGGCCCCTATTTTTGGGAGCCCTCGACAGTTGTTGAGCTTCTTTTGTAAGTTTGCTGAGCTGTTGAGCAGCTTTTGACAATCCCCCGCTCTGGCTGACAGAACTGGTGCTGTAATACACCGCATACCGGCACTCGCCAAATACCGTATTTTTTGCTCTATAAGACTCACTTTTTCCCTCCTTAAAAGTAAGGGGAAATGTGTGTGCATCTTATGGAGCGAATGCAGGCTGTGCAGCTATCCCAGAAGCCAGAACAGCAAGAGGGATTGCTGCTTTCACTGTGCAGCAGTCCCTCTTGCTGTTTTGGCTTCTGAGATTCAGAATAATTTTTTTTCTTGTTTTCCTCCTCCAAAAACTAGGTGCTTCTTGTGGTCTGGTGTGTCTTATAGAGCGAAAAATACGGTACTCTTCCTAAGCTGCGAAGAGCGGGTAAGCAGCCTCCTCTCCGACATTTCACTGCTACCTCCGCAGCACCTACTCTCGCTTACTTAGCATATTAACCTGTGTATACGACAACCCTCAATATATCAGAAAAAAAGGCCAGCATCCTGCTATCTCAGTGGCCACCCAGATGCCTGTGGGAAACCATCAAACAGGACCCAAGCTCAAGAGCTCTCTTCACTCCTGTGGCTTCCCACAACTGGTCTTCAGAAGCATTGCTGCCTCTGACCATGGAGGAAAAGCATAGCTACATTAATGTAAAGCGCTGGCTATAAAAAGCTTGAGGACCGGTAAAATTCGCGGTAAATCTATGCTTCTGTTGTAAACCACAGTGGTACCTCGGAAGTCGAATGGAATCCATTCCAGAAGTCTGTTCAACTTCCAAAATGTTAGGAAACCAAGGTGCAGCTTCTGATTGGCTGAAGGAAGCTCCTATCTTCCTAGCTAACATCATCATCCCTAGCTAATAGGACCAGTGGTCAGGGGTGATGGGAGCTGTAGTACCAGAACATCTGGAGGGCTGAGTTTACCTATGCCTGCATGAAAGCAATGAGGAAGCACTACCAGGCGGAAGGTTTTTCCTTCTTCCTTGGGCTACCTATTTGCCTATGCAAATCCCTTCACATTGCCTCTGCCCTCTTTTCTTCTTTTCACCCTTTACTGAGATAGGAATTCATTTGAAGATTAATCCTACAGCAATAGCGAAGGAGCAGAATTTCTTTTACTAAAGGTGGGATTTAGGACTATGCAGGAGGCCTCCTTGTCACTTAGGCATCACTTAAGCTGTCAAAACAGTGCTTATCCCTGTTTCACAATTGTGTAGGTTTAAAGCCACCCACGGCTCACATTTCTCCCCTCTGGCCTTTGCTGGGAAATGATGTTTATTTTAGGGAGGAATCATGCAACCGGTAATCTTTTGTGATTCCTTCCGCTAGAGACATTAAGTATTTGAAGCATTTTACTAACTTGAGCTAAGTGCATGTGTGTGCACACACACAAGCTCTAAATGACTCCTTTTTGCTCCTATTAAAAAAGCACCTCTTGATTTTTAAAAAAAAGAAAACATGACTTCCATTGTAAACAGAATGAAATTTACATTCACAAGCAATTGAGGAGTCTTTCTTCTCCATTCTGAAAGGGAGGGAAGTTGATGTTAAAGCTCATTCCCTACCTTCTTTTGGCTATATATATATATAGAGAGAGAGAGAGAGAGAGAGAGAGTGTTTTCCAAGAGATGAGCTTGCTAGATCAATGTAAGCCTTTTTGCAAGTCAGCAGGTGAACAGCTCTTTTGCATTAGTGTGTTTAGATAGTAGTGATCTAAGCAGTAAGAAGGAGACCACACGAAACCTTGGATCCATATGTTTAACGATCAATTCTACATTTGAATTTCTGATTCTAGGGTCTTATTAGAATTCTGCCAACAGCCAATAAAAGCATGTTTCATTGAAAAACTTTGCTAAACCTGAACTGCTAGATAGCTCAACCATGGATCTCAGAGAATTCCAATGGAAAAGGAACTTGCTGGTGTTTGTCTATTCATCTCCTGCCCAGAATGGAAATCAATCCAGAAAATGGAATTGGTATTTGCTATTGTGTTCAGTCCACAAATAATGCATAATGGTTGTTGGCATCTGTCTGTCTCAGGAGACCATGGGGGAGTGTGCCTTTGCAGGTGAAGTCCAACCATTGCAGAATTACAGCGACATGATGACATCACAGATCCTTTATATACAAAACCAAGGACAGCTGCCTCAGCCACTTAGATTCAATGACTGTGTGGGCAAATGAGGCCAGCTTAACATTGCACTGTTATTTTATAGCCGCACTCAGAGTAGGAATAAAATGTGTGTGTGTGTGTGTGTGTGTCTGTCTGTTTGTCTGTCTGTCTGTCTCTGTGTGTGCATGCAGGGGCACAACTAATCAAGAGAGGAGCAATGAAAGCTCAACATAAATTGCAGTTCCATTCAGCCATTGAATTAGGCAGGCAGTGTTTTCCAACCAGTCTCATAAATGCAGGGCTGTAAAATTAAGGAGCAGGATCTAATTTTATTGGAGGGGAATTGAAATTAGACATAAAACTGGAAAACACCAGAGGGAATCGCTGCCTCTTAGGAGGTGAGACCTCCCACCTGCCCCAATAAACATAAATCTTTGCCTCTTTCTCCATTTATTTTACTGTCTTGACCAGCAGAATATGGCCTGGCCTGGTAGCTGCTAATTGCTGTGGGACAGGGGCCAACTTCCAGGGATCTGCCAGCGGAAGGGTAAGGGGGCAAAGCCAAAGAATAGGGGCTGGAGGAAAGCATGCTCAGGATCTGAAGCCTGGGAAGGATCAGGATACTTGCAAGGAGATCTAGAAGGGGAGGGGGCTGCACCAGGCAGCTGCCTTGTGGGAAATGAAGTGTTAAGCCCTGGATGACTGAAGCACATGCCATTCCTGCCCTTTCACTAAGGACTATTCAAACACCATGTGCCTCATCCCAAGTGCTTTTTATTTCATAACTAAGGTCCCTGGCGCCTAACTCACTGCATCACCAGAGCTGCCACTAGGCCAAGGGAGAGTGCTTGACCTGATGTCTCCTGTACTGTAGCTCCATCCAGGTGATGACCAAGAAAGGTACTGTGACTCATCAGCACAGCCAATCGAAGCTTCTTCTTCTTTGATGATCACTTGTAGCCAAGAAATATTGTCTTCCATAAACACGGTTTTAAAATTGAGTCCGTAAGTGGCTGTGGAGGCCAATTCTGGATCCACACGTCTTTCCACAGTGGGGACATAGTTTCCGGGTGGGAGTTGATCATGGTGAGGGTTTGCCACACGTGCCTTCCTCTTAGCATGTTTCTCTCTTTCGTCCTGAGTTTGAGCGTCTTCAGAACCCATGACACC